CCATCTTATGACCCCATAAGCAGAGACTGAGTACAATAATCACCTCGCCTTCGGAGAATAATTGTTAATTATTATTAATAATAATATTAATATTTTTTTTAATATTAATTTATTTATAATTAAATTTATTTCCAATAATTAAAAAATTGGTAAAAAAAAAATTTCCGCCAGTCCGCGGGTCCGCGAGTCCGCGTCCGCCAGTCCGCGTCCGCCGGTCCGCGTCCGCCAGTCCGCGCCCGCCTTTTAACTACACCCATCTTATGACCCCATAAGCAGAGACTGAGTACAATCGGATAAAACTCTAAGATCGCGATGTTACGATAACGCCATTCGTCAGGCCAGAGGCCATGACAATATTCTGTGCCAAAAATTGCGCCGAAACCAATTCCACCCGCAGCATCCGTGAATAAATTAAGTTGCTGAGAATTTGCCCAGCGTTCCTCGAGAAAAAATGACCGGCCATTGTAATTTGCTAAAAACGATAGCCACACATTTAAGGTCGCGGTCACACTAGCGCTAGAATCGTGCTTGCTTGAACTAAATCCACTTGAATCGCTCAACACATCACCTTCCAAGCGCGCTTGCTAGTGTGACCGCGCAAAACACAAAATGCAAGCATGCTTGAAATCTGACGATTTGCTTGAAATTTCAAAGGCACCGAAGCACGATCCAAACACACTACAGGGTATGTTTGAATCGTGCTAGAATGTGGATCTCAAGTGGATTAAATAGTTCAGCCAATAAAATGTTGAGTTTTAGAAGGCAAATAGACAAGTAATTTCAACATGTCATTTTTAATTTGAATTGAGACAGAACGCAGTAGATTCAAACTATTTTGCTTGCACAACAACGCGCTAAGCAGTAAAAAGTTGAATCAATAAACGGTATTTCTGTATGGAAACCTGAAGCAGAAACCAAATTCAAAATTTCAAAGTAATTGTTAACATCCCTATTTAATTCATATAATATGATCATGAATAACGATCGGGCAAGCGATTTGCGCCTGAACTAAGGACAAAGACACATTTCTCTTATGTTCTAAAGTCTAAATTTCGTTAGGCCTACGAAATCACAAGAATAATGTATATTCGTTGCCTTTAATGTAATGGACTTTAGATTATTAGATAGGTTTTTATTTTTATCTGTCAACAACAGCAAGCAAGCAAACGTTGCTTTTTTGAGTGTGACCGCGACGTGCTTGGCTTGCATTCTAGCATGAGCTTGGTATGTGTTCAAGCAAGCACGCTAATCCGGTGGTAATCTTCAAGCACAAGCGCTAGTGTGACCGCGACCTAAGTCTTGTTTTGTCTCGCGATTAAGCCTGATAAGGTGATGAGATAAACGGATGCCGTGGGTGAGATCAATTAAGCGACGCAAGAATGCCCTGCCGGGAATGATGACAGAACATGCAAAATTTAAAAGGCCAATTAAAGATTGAATTTCCCTTAAAGTGCCCCTGTCACAAAATGAGAGTTTATATTTTCGAAATCTATGATACGAAATATACGGAAATTCGAAAACGGAATTGAAATTGCTTTTTTAGTGTAAAAGTTATTGCCGTTTAAACATTGAATTTGGCCTTGTGAAAAATCTGAAAACCGCGCAAAAGGGACTGGGACTAAACAATGCGTGTGACGTAATAGTAGGAACTTATGTAGCTCACTAATATAGAAATACTATTGCATGTACTATCATAGAGGAGGCAATAGCGCAAATAAAAGTCACGAAACTGAAAAATTGCCGAATATATGTGTAGTAGGCGGTTGTTCTAATGTCACAGATACAGAGTAAGGCATTTCACTTCATTTTATACCTTTTACTGGAGACGAGAGGCCCGAAGCGAAAAGGACACGGATTGACTTCGTGCACCTTACCTTAAACCAGCAATATGAGATCCAATGTTCAGCATACCTTGCGAAGATAGAGAGCTTGCTGGTAAAACCACGGTTAGCTGCCGACGAAATTGGTTTTGTTGCAATTCCAAAATTTACAAATACTGTCGACGACAAACCTTTGTCTGCGAGAGTCAAGAGAATGGTATATGTATAATTTATACTCTAATTTCGTTTATCATGCACTTGAATATGGCCTAGTGCAATTTTTATTCCAAATTCGTTATTTTGAATAGGTTGTATTTAGAAGCTGCTTCGATGCAGTCAACCGATATGGTCATGGTCACGAAACTGGAAAGCGCGATAAATATGAGCCACAGCCAATGGATTCACCAGAAATATAAAATATCGCGACAATATAGCTATGACTATGAGTGAATATGGTCAAAATATAGCTGATGAAAGCCAATTTCTTATGTCTAGAAGCAATGTGCACTGTTTGTATTTTAGTTTAGACAGGGAAAGTAGAATTGTACGTATAAGTAAACTTGACGCAGTAAATTATACATATACACACTCATTGTGTTTGCACCGCAGTACAAACCCGTACAATATATATGCAGATTTTGTAACAAATTGTGGCATGAAACCAGATACACTGCGGGGGTGTATAGAAAATGTATTACAAAGTATAATCCATTGAAGCAACTTAATGAAATAACTTAGTCATTGCCACATTTGCTATAGTGCCTGGAACGAAATACAAGTCAGAAAAATTCCTAAACGTGCTGCAACACTTTGTACAAATTAACCCGCGCGCACGAAGTGCAGAAAACATCAGATACAAATCTTAATCTCAAATTTCAGTCTCTTTGGCAAAACAACATTGAAGTCATGAATATAACAAATGTGCTGTTTCTATACGCAATACAGTATAATATTACCACATTTATACAGTGTAATAGGTTTATTTATTGAAAAATAGTTATATAATATCAAGAGCTGTTCTCTACAAATCCTACAAAGTCTTCATCAACAGCAGGCATTATTTTCTCATATGCGCAAAAATGTCTATTTCTTAGTTGTCCATAAACCATCCACACAAAGTTTCTATATACTGTGCTCCTTCAGAATCTATAAATTAATAAATAAGTATTTTTAATAAGTCGCTTTAATACTTGCATGTGAACACATGTAAATATATAATAATTCAATAATTGTACATTTATGTACCGTATATAAACTCTCAGTTACCGTACCGCATGCGTGTGTTCACTGATAGTAAACTCGGGTATGGTTTTAGTGTTTCATAATTTCAATATGTTGATAAATAAAACTTTATTTACCTATCTTCTGTGCTTGTTTGACGGTATTCCTGTTTCTTTCTTGTTCGTAATTTCGTGGCTGCTGAACGGAGAGCTCACTTATCTAGCCATAGCTGTTGAATTATACATGATGGCGCGACTTCAGCTTCTTGCATCACAAATCACAATGTCACTGTGTAGAGAATCGACGCACTACAACATTGACACTCTTTAGCATAATTTACGAAGCAGTTCAATGCGACAATTGCCACGTATACACATGAAATATTATAGTTTGTAATTTACAACACAAGGTCAAGTCACGCAACAAAATCAGAGCCGTGAAATATTTACCATTTACTCAATTCTTCTGAACTATCAAGCCTTTGTTGTAATTGCTTAAGACGCTCGTTGTGATTGCTTTTTTTCGCGGTAACTTTTGAGCCATCTTCGTCGGTCACTGCATGGTTCATTACATGTAACATATGGATCAAGCAGCGCCGATCATTTGTGCGCACGCGGCACGACGTTGACCACGCTTCACTGGTGTTTTCTTCGATTTCACTCGATTTGATACGGCCCAGGAATATAATTTCAGGCAGTCATCGCTTTGGTAACTGTTATTTTCCGTATCTGAACTCGACGAAGACATTTGTATCGAATTTTGACCAGCTTGATTGTGATTCTCACTTAGTATTTATATACTTTTCACTTAGGCGAGAAGGCAATGTCTTCCTACTATGACGTATTAGTTACCAATTTCCCAGCTTCGCGGTTTTCAAAAACTTTTGGCGTTAAAATTTGAAATTTTCAAATTTCATTGCCTTATTACTCTGTGAAAACAAGCTCAATTTTAAATCTGTTTTGTATTTTCATAATCTACGTTTCAAGACGATTCTAATGATGTAAACTCTCATTTTGTGACAGGGGCACTTTAAATTCCATGTAAAGTCCGTTCTGCGCATACTTTCTGCGCATCGCTACATTCCAAACGTCGGGACCCGACCATTGGAATGTTAATATATGCAATAATAGCGTGTCATATTCAAAATGGCGGACGAAACAAGCACACAAGCGAGTTCCTCTTTGCCGCAAGGCTTGGAGGCTCGTATTGTTACTTCAGAAGACAAGGTTGCCAAAAAAAAGCGATATTACGCGGAGAGGGACGCGAGCAAGATTTATTTGTTCGATCAGCACGTGAGATGGCGAGAGTTGATGAACGAGTTAGCGCTTAAATCTGACAAGGAGCTAGCAGCAGTATTGCTAGACAATTACATGTCTCGCAAAAATCAGCATTTCAGGTAAAAGACTCAACTAGCAATATGATTTAATGTTAGTATATGTTTCAAAAGTGCTGCGGGTTTTATTTTTTTGTTGTATTGGTTGATATTCATACATTTGTCTTCTTAAAAACAGTGAAGTTGAAACTCAAACGGAAGGTGAGCTGGGAGAGTTGCCAAACATCGAAGAGCCTCAACAGGTCTTCACAACGACGCCAAGACATATTCATTCGCCAGGTGAGTTACAGATTAAACAGGAATAAAAATAATATAATGCAACAACATGTAACTCTACAGACTTTCGTTTTTTTCCCGTTTAAATAAAGCTGCGACTTCGACTCGGAGTTTGGAAAGAGCTGCACATGGTTTCTCGACACCTAAGCGCCGTCGTTTGTCAATAGACAATGTTCCCCTCCCTTCACCAGCAATGTAAGTTCTTAAATGAAACAATTTTAATTTCTTATTATGTATTCAATATTATAATATTTAATATTGCAACTATTAAAAGTGTATATTCAAAGAAGTACCAAGAAGACTTTATATTGATGTAAATGTTAGAGTTGTTTATAATTTTAAAATTTTTTTGTTTCCTGTAACCTTTCTTACAGGCATCACAGGAAGCTAAGAAAATGGTTTATTGTAACTCAGGGAGTCATAGTGCCCAATAGTTATAATAAATCAGCACCTTGGTCTCTGTGAATTTATGAGATTAGGGCATATTTTTGTTTATAATAAAGTGTGTTTACAATTAATGGTAAGCCCTGGGCATGCTCTGCAAGGTATTTTTAATTAGCCTTTTCCCAAAAAAAGATCACAATGCATTCTGGAATTGTTTGGAGGGATAAAAATATATGGTGACAGGTGTGATTGAGTGGGTTACATTAAGCATTATTTTTTCCTAATTTTAAAGGTCTCGAATAAGCAATGTATCGTCAATATTGGAGAGGACCATGACTGCAAGTGAGAGCGAAGACAGTGACGATTCAGAAGACATGGAGGAGCTTAACCCACTAAATAGCTCATTGTAAGTTCAGACCTTAAAAGATATAAAAACAATTCAAAAGAACGGCTCACAAGTTTTAGGTTTGTGTACAGTATTTGTCATGTGAAATGACTCAACATGCCAAGTTTAAACCTATATACTTTCATTTAGCTTTTATACCATATTTTGTACTGTATCAATCGTCTGTGCTGAAATGTTATACTTTCTACAACAAGTAATATAAGTATCGATCTAAGGAATTTTTACAATTGGCATATAATTTGTACTTAGAATGTAACTGTTCCTTTGTTTTGTCATTTTATTATTGTCATTTTTTTATAGGCTCCAAGTTGATGACCTTGAGAAAACGTCCCTTGAAAGTGAGGTGTATGATCTGGATGTCGAAGGGCAGGATGATATCGGAGAAGACATATCAGAGCAAGTGTCTAGCTCCACTAACAATGAAGATACCGAAGTGGAAATCATACAACCTGCAGATATTGCCAAGAATGAGTACTGTATTGTAGCAGCAACAAAATTGATACGTTTACTCTACAGAGTTCATGGCGAAATATGTAAGCGACCTGGATGTGACGAACTACTTGAATTCCAAGAAACATATCGTGGCACATGTCTTGTGGTTACCTGGAAGTGTCATGCAGGGCATTTTGGTGGAAGGTGGGCCTCTCAATCTACTTGTGCTGGTCTTCGGGCAGGGAATTTGTTGTTGGCAGCAGCAATTGCTCTTTCTGGTAATTCATACACCAAAATTGGCTTCCTTTTCAAGGTCATGAATATGACATACATATCCAAGATGTTGTATAATCAATATCAGAGCTTATACATCGCTCCCACTGTTGAGGAATATTGGAAAGAAATGAAAGACGAAGCATGGAAAGAAAGGGAAGGGAAAGAAATTATTCTCAGTTCTGATGGGCGCAATGACTCTCCTGGTCATTGTGCACAATACCTAACATATTCTTTTGCAGATATGGAGTCAAAAACCATATTAAATTTGAATATTGTGGAAGTTAGAGAAGTCGAGGGGAGAAAAAGCACGAATATGGAAAGAGTCGGTTTTGAGAGAGGGCTTGACGAGTTGCTGACTTCAACCATGAAAATAGAGGAACTTGTCACAGATGGTCATCTGGGAATCAGTGCAATGATGAGTATGTTACAATTGAAATATTAATTAAGAAATAATTATGATTAGAATGTATGGTTGATCACAAATCTTGTATCCATTGTTTTATGTTTTAGAGCCAAAACAGCCATTATGTTGAGACAAATGTATCAATGTGTTTGTAATAATCATGCAAGCTTATAAAAGACAAAATACACTTCTTGATGCTTCAACGACCATATTTGGGTTTTTTATCAGCTTATGTGATCATTGACATTACATACAAAAGTATATATATGTCATGCTAATTAAGGCATTTGACCAGTCACCAGTATATTCAACTGTTGATTAACCCATTAAGTGCCAGTTCTCTCCCCTTGAGAAGTGAAATTATCTGGCATTAGACAGAGGAAAATAATAAAGTAGGGCGCATCAGGTTGGAATGCGACTTAATGGGTTAATTAATTAGTTAAATATTATAAATTGACGTGTTTGACTTATAATATTAACCCATTTACTGATAACTAGTACCCTACCATTGATCATTGATGAGTATAGAATACCAAAGAAATGAACAATCTCAGCTTATTGCCAGTTCATAATGGGTTCTACAAATTGTGGTTACCATTTAGACCATTACTAACTCTGAATGTGATGTGATATTCCAATTTATTATCTTCAAATATTATATTGATTGTATAATTATTTAGAGAATTCAGTTAAATATAAAGATATTGTTCACCAATGGGATGTTTGGCATGGTGGTAAGAACCTTGGAAAGAAAGTTATTGCAGTAAGTACTGTAGCCACTAAGATACTTGATTTGTTTGAACTGGACAAATGGTTTTGATAATATTCACTTGTATTTTAAAGGACATTGGCAACCAAATTTTTTATTACTTATATCCATTAGGTATACTTACGGAATATTTAATTTCATATTTTGGCCGGTTTGTCGCGTTTAGTTGCTGAGAAAATTTGATTGAATTTGAGAAAATTTGAACAGTTGTCCGCCATTTTGAAAATAAGCGCGTATGCTAATTTATGCTACAAAATACATTATCTGACGTCATTGGCTGGGTAAACACAATCTCATGACTATAAACAATAACGTGTATTACCACGCGTAGTGCATTTTGAGCCAAAACCAAAGGCAGAAAAGTTTTGCCAAGTATGTAACTTGTTTGTAACACTATTTCTCATAGTATATATCCTACTCCGTGTTAAATAAGCGCAGAAATTCGAGTGTAACAAGGCAAATACTAATGCAATATTTTATGATGAATTACCTGCATTGTAAATTGCGCCATTTCTTGCTTTCCCAGTCGCTCGATATGTTTTTATCTGATAGTGTAGACTTCTCTTCTTTGATTGCGAAGAGTGTTGGCCAGTATAACGCTCAAAACGACATATTTTTAGCTAACATAACACGCACGCATTAGAATTCTCTCTTGTAGTTTTGGTGCTACCCAGCCAATGACGTCACAAAGTTCATTGACCTTCGAGATAATTTTTCAAAAATATTTTCCAAGATGGCGGCGAAACTGGCCGAAACACAAAGTTTGCATGCATTTTACTCGTAGACTAAAATGTTCAAGAAGGAAATGATAATATTTTCATAGTTCGGTTGTCAAGTAGGATTGAAATAGCCAATAAAAATTTTCGTTGCCAATGTCCTTTAACGAAAAATATCCGGGGGCGGCTGACATCCTATCGTTTTTTTCATAAAACGATTCCAAGACCTTTTTTGCAAAAAGTATTGGGCTGCTTTTAACATAATTCAAACTTCAGCATGATTTACAGTCAACTGGCTAAGATTCAGTGTGAAGACAAACAAAACATCGCTTATATCAGACTAAACGAACTGTGGTGATAATCTTAATGCCCGCCCGGATTTTCGATTCCAACACTAGTTGTGCTTTGCGATTTTTCCTGCCGAAACAACAAGCTGTTTGAAAATAACAAGTGCGTTGTATCATTTTGTGATAGGTGTAGATGAATGTCTTTCGCAGACGAATATTCCAAACTAAGCGTGCGACGCGTGAGAAATGTTTATTCTCTCAGCTGCGTTGTTGACGTTCGCTTCAGGTTACAAAAGCCGTACCTCATGATCTATGATTTGCGATTTTTCCTGAGAAAATAACTAACGTTTTTAAGACCTAGTTTGCTTTATACGATTTGCTATAGTGTACTAATGAATGTCTTTCAGAAATTAGGGAACTACACGCGTATTTTACGATACAAAGCGAAATATAAGTTTGTCGACAGGTCATGACAAACATGGCGCAGTAAGAATTCACGCGTTGGTCGTGTAGTTTCTGCGATTTTTCCTGGCTTCACGTTATGAGCTAAAAATTGAAGTATAGTTTTGTCAAATGCGCAATAGTCTGATAATGGATGTCCTTGATGAATTACGTTTATTCCGTGAAAAGAGACTGAGCAATTCCACATTTTGTACCCCGTTTCATATTCAAATCTGAATATGAATCTGAATATGAATCTGAAACTTGAATCTGAAACTGTAGAGCGGATCGTATCATGCTGGATCCATACGAACCGCTCTACAGTTTCAGATTCAAGTTTCAGATTCATATTCAGATTCAGATTCAGATTTGAATATGAAACGGGGTACAAAATGTGGAATTGCTCAGTCTCTTTTCACGGAATAAACGTAATTCATCAAGGACATCCATTATCAGACTATTGCGCATTT